TCATCCATCCTCCTCCGATGAATGAGTGAAAAAAACATCTACAACATGAAATCTAAAGAATTTCCCAAATCAACTATGTACAGAGTACGGACAAAAAAATAAAAATTAAATGTCACGTGTTTGAAGGTGCCAAGCAATGTTATTAAAACCGGCCCGACTATTGAACCAGCTAAGGTACTGGGTTACTGGTTCAACCAGTGGATCATTAGTTGAACCGCATGACCCGGTAAATATATACAAATTTATAATTTATATTTGAAAAATTATATTTATATTTAAATATCTATAAAAAATAATATTAGTTCTAAATGTTTTAACTTTATTAATCATATTCCAAAAAAAAAATCACGTTAAAAATTAATTTGACAACGGTGGCTGGTTGAGCAAACTAGAATACAATAAATGCAACCTGTTAAGTTTCACTTTCCAAGAAATATAATAAATGCAAACCCATTTCACATGCTTCCTTCTTTTCACTCTTACTCCTCGTCTTCTCTTTCTGGTTACTGAAAAGGTAGAAAAAAATGCAAAATAATGCAAACGCTTTTACTCCTCTTCTTCTAAACGCTTACTCCTCTTCTTCTCTTCTTTTTATTCACTAAAATGGCAGAAAAAATGCAGAAGCCCTTCTTTTTCTTTATCATTGTTGCCATGGCCTCAAGCATCACCATATTGTCCGCCTCGTCGCTGCAATGCTAGCCTCCGGCGCTGCAACGCTCGCCTTCGCCTCTGCACCGACCAGGATCTCTGGTGAGACATCCACCATCCCCGACGGCCATCGTTCCATTCTCCCTGAAGCTTTTCTTTCTCTTATGTTGTGTATATTTGACCCGACAAGTCACATGTTTTTGTAAAACCGACCGGTTCACTTCGGTTCGCACCGAGTTATACCGGTTTGTTTACATGTCCGATCTATTACTTTACCTGGACCGGTCACATGACCGGTTTACAGGTTACCGGTTCGAACCGGCCAGTCCAGTCCGGTTCTTATAACACTAGTGCCAAGTGCCAACCCCTCTTCCCCCTGGTGTGCATGAAAAAAAGAAGAAGAAAAATACCACTTAAAATTTAAAAGATTCTATGAATCAACTATCTAAAGGAAAAAGATAAATGTGCAATTGAACCCAAAACAGATACCAAAGAATAAAAGAAAATAAAAGTAGCCATTGGCAAGATAACCAGAAATACTGCATATGTAACTCTCTCTCTCTCTCTCTATTTTTTTTATTATCAGTCAAGAATCTGAGATAAAATTATCTTCTGTTAGTTAAAAATATCGTGAGTTTAAGATTGGAGAATAAGATTAATATGACCCATAATAAATTAAAATAAAAAAAATCCTCTCACCCCTAAACAATGTCCTTTTGAGTGTTAGTATATGTGCAGACTGCAAGAACAAAATCTATGTTACTATTTCTTTAGTTTACTTCCGCATAGTTTAATGTAATACATATTTTTTCCAACTCCATCGTTCCCCCTTATACAGACACGTTCCAAAAGTACCGTTGATTATAGTGATATTTCATTGTTTCTTTACTTTACTACCACATAGTTGAATGTAATTTGTAAATACCTAACTCTTCCAACTACATGATTCTCCCTTTTACAGACATGGTTAACCGACAACTTATACTAGAAACTCATATATATATATATATGGGCTTATCGTTTCTTAAGCTGTCGGAGATAATTTTATCTCCGGCTAATAAATCATAACCATACAAAGATGGATCAATAGTAATGAAGGAAGTGAGAGAAAAAGGGAATCATAACCATTCAATGGTGAATCAATTAATATAAGAAAATAAATAAATAAAACGACGTAGTTTTAGGGTGGCCGGAGATAAACTTATCTCAAGTTGCCGGAGAAATATTTTTCCATATATATATGGGCAGGATCATTTGATACGATGTCAAACTTTAAAATTTGACATCAAATTCTAACAGTTGATTCTCGTCAATCAACGGTTATTCTTTATTTAGAAATCAACTGTTAGTATTTAATGTCATATTTAAAAGTTTGACACCGGTATCAAAGGATCTTGTCATATATATAGAGGTAGGATCCTTTGACATCGGTGTCAAATTTCAATTTTGACACCTCATCTGAGAGCCGTTAGATCAAAAGAAATCAATGGTGTCACATGCTTGCAAATCAGAGTCGTTGATTCTTTTTGATCTAACGGCTCTCAGATGAGGTGTCAAAATTGAAATTTGACACTGGTGTCAAAGGATCCTACCTCATATATATATATATATATGAGTTTAATATATCTCATGTTATAAGAAATAAACACACATAAGTATGTGAGACCCATGCGGGGCCTCCCCATTTTTATGTGCGTGTGTAAAAAATAATATAGAGAGAGAAATATTAAACACTCTCTCTCTCTCTATCTATCTATCTTTATATATATATATATGTATATATATATATATATATATGTATATATATATACATATATATGTATATATATATATATATATATATATGTATATATATAAGGTGTTCGCGGTCTGGATTGGATCGTTTTGGAAAACAAAAATCATCCGATCCAATCCCTTTGGTTTGATCATGTAATCATCCATTTGGTTTGCATTTTTTTTCAAATTCGATCCGATCCAATTCAATTTTTTTGGGTTTGGATTGGATCGATTTTCAATTTTTTTAAAATCCTAAAATTTTGTTATCAAAAAAAAAAAAATCCTAAAATTTGGTTCATGATTATTGCGCAAATAACATCTTTTGTATATATTGGCTTTGTAATTTTTTTTTAAATACAAAAGTATCAGTAAACGATAATATAATTTTTTTTTTCTGGCAATGAGATATGAAGCTCTACACAGATGAAATTTTGTTGATGAGATGTGATTAGATTTATTCTTGGGTTTAGTTGATGGGTTAATGAATCTTGAGTTTAGAAATTTTGGGCCATAATATGGGAAAGGCCCAAGTATGTAGAGAGAAATTAATATATTGGATCGATTTTCATCAACCAATTCGAAAACCAATCCAATCCAATTAAAATTTGCGGTTTATTTTCGGTTTTCGATTTTCTATTTATTCGGTTATCGGTTTTTCGGTTCGATCACCGTAGTTTGAATCAATTTGGATCGGTTGATATATATATATATATATATATATATATATATATATATATATAGGATTCGTTTTTTCTGTAGTTACAGCATATAAGTTATCTGCAGTAAGCCCAATACGACATCGTTTTGGGGCGAAAATCATGGTGTTTTTGTAATTTTAATTTATTTCAAGGTTATTATAGTCTTTATAAATATAATTTTTTAATTTTCCAATCCCAAAACGACGTCGTTTTGGAAGTAAATGCAGATAACTTATCTTCATTAACTGCAAAAATATTTTTTGATATATATATATATATATATATATATATATATATATATATATATATATATATATACATACATACATACATACATACATACTATGAAGACCGACATTTCAAAAATCCTAACATGTCGTTCTAGAGACTCACAAAAAGGTTCAAAGGATGCGTTGTGTTGCGTTTTTAGTTCCAACTATTAGATTCATTAGATTACGATTACCATTTTATTAAATTTAATATAAATATTTGGGATGTCTTATGTTTCTTTGCAAAATTGATGCCTATTATAAGTTTAGCTTCATTTTTTTGTTAAATTATTGAATATTAAATATAATATACACTACATAAATTAAAAATATTATTTAATATTAAAATGTGTCCTAACGTGTCAAAATCTAACATTTTTTAGAATTAATGTGTCAAAATACCGTGTCGTGTCCCGTGTCGGTATCGGTGCTACATAGTATATATATGGAAAAAGTATGTCATTTTAAAGGATGTAAAATTGTCATTTTATATGAGATAAAGAGATAGATCATGGGGAGAGAGTGGACAAAAAAGATAAAGGTGTGAATTTCACCTCTTTGTGAAAGTGAAACAACACAAGTTGTAAAAGGACGAATATTTTTTCCTAATATATATATATATATATCAACTTTCCGTTGTCCTCAGATTTAGGGTTGGCAAAACGGGCCAACCCAACCCGCATTCAACCCGAAAAAAACGAGCCGGGTTAGGGTTGGCTCGAAAAAAAATGAGCCAGAAAACCCAACCTGACCCGAGTCGGGTTAGGGTTGGCTCGCGGGTTGACTCAAAATTATGGCTCGTGAGTTGGCTTGAAAAAATAGCTCGCGAGTGGGCTCGAAAATTGGCTCGTGGGTTGGCTCATTTTCAGCCTATTTAAATGATCCTGTAGTATTAATGCACCAGCTATGTGGCTTCCATGAGCTTAAACAAAGGGTTACAAAATGAGAAATAAAAGCAAAATATTTTAATTTGGAATTTTCTTCACAACAAATTTGCATCAACATCCAAAAACAATCAGAACCACTTGCTACCAAGTGGGTAAGATATTTGAACAAAATAGAGCCAGCACAGCCTAACAATATAAAAATGGCAGGGATGTGAGAAGATTAGAGACTTAGGTTTAAAGAAGGAAGAAAAATGATGACAACATGTGTGAATTTTATCCATTTTTGTATATTATATTTTATATTTTTTTATTAAAAAAAAAATCAACCCTTGAGCTGGCTCATTTGACCCGCGGGTTGACTCGTTTTTTCTCGGGTTGAAACGAGCCGGGTTGACTCGAGTTGACAGCTTATTTTTGTCAATCCAACCCGACTCATTTTTTACGAGTTACAAGCCAACCCGACGAGTTGATTCGTTTTTGGCAACCCTACTGAGATTATCTACAGCTTAGTACAATCGCATGGCGTTCTAGTACTTGCTATTTTAAGATTAAGGGAAAAAAAGGTACTCATTGAATTGAATATTCCACTGGGTATAGCACGCGATAACTACAGAGGAGCAAGTGTTTTAACTTTATTTGAAGGGGGCTTATAATATTTAATAGCTATCCTATTCTATACATTCGAATTAGGAGAAAACTAAAAATTCCATTCCATTCCTTTGAAGACATTATACAAAAACAAATAACTGAAATTTATCAATTCAATGAGGTCTTCCTCAAAGAATTCATAACTTACCATGTTAGCTGCTGGAGGTTAACCCACATTCTGCAATCAAAATATCTTTACAATGCTTTAAACTCGTTAACATAAAGTGAAATACCACAACCATTGAAAGATACACACGAATCTCATTTGATACTTTTTCTTTTTATTCATGCTTCTTTGACAACACTGAACTATCTGAAATGGCATTGCCTTGACTTTCCACATATGGTCTAATGAAAGTTCTCCGCCACCAGACCTCAAAAGCTCTCTGAAGATTGGGACAGCTATCACCATTTCTTAAGAAACTTCCAACCCATGAAAGCAAAATGCTTTGTTGATCCTCCAAAGGCAAGGTGAGAATTGTCCTCCCAATTCCTTCCTCCACAAGCTTCCTATCAAATGACCTGCACCCATGTTGTAACCAGTTGTAGTCATTCATTAGAGGCTGTAGCCATGTCTGTAACAACAGTTGGCGCGTTTCCTTTGATGGCAACAATTCACCTCTTCCAATGCCAACACATAGTCTTCCAGAAATGCAGCTAACATGATAGCGCGATACAATAGGTAGCTTTGCGTGTAGAGCAGCCAATTCCTGCTGGTTTGCCCACATCAGTGCAAACTCATCAGCAATTTGTTTGTCAACTAAAATCTCAAGCAACCATGAGAGGTTATCAGCCTCAAGAGCTATATGCTTTACTATAGGTTCTCTGTCATCACTTAGTTTGTCTGCGAAGCCCGGTTCTGCGGCCTGCTTGAAAAGAGACAACAATGAATCCAAGCAGCTTCTGCATGATCTGTAAATCATGTCATTGCATATGTCAGTTGAACGTGCATGGCTTGGAAGATTGTTATTCTCCCTAAGGAGCTTTAGAACTATGGATTTCATCTCTCGGCGGCCTCTTTCCTCATTGCTTTTGAGAACAAGTTCAATAATCTGGGAAAGAGTGTCTTTTGGGACATTAGAAATATCAGAAGAAACTCGTTTCAGCACAGGGTTGACCCCAATTCCTTCCCCTTGGAGTTTTAGTACAGTTGAGACCACCTTTTCTTCTACCTCTTCTCCAACCCAAGGGACTGCTTCCAAGTACTCCAAACATGATTGGATACATGAGCTGAAGCCAAGGAATTCTGCAACCTGAGGGAATATCATATTTTAGCCTTTAGATTTTCTAAAGAAATTTTAACAGTGCTTTCCCAAATGGAAACTACCAAATAAACAAAAAATAAAAAATAAAAAAACTATGCATATGCTGATCATAAAAAGTCCATTAAAATAACTTCAAGTTCTTTCACAAATCCTAGTGTAAAGCTGGATATCATATGCTATACACATTGATCAAGGTGTCCTACAGCTAAGGAAAAAGTACATACTATTGTTAGGGGTTTCATGGAAATTTAAACAAAATCAATTTGCAAAATTTAGAAAGTCTAGACTAAGGCTTCACTTAACTTGGACACTGAAAAATCACCCATTACAGTTACACTACCTCTATGAAGTCAAAAAGGCATGAATGCATCCAATTGTAGCTGTCCATATTCCAATATGCAGCAGCAGAATACACAGAAGTACATAAAAAATATAAGAAATGAAGAAAAGTTCCGACAGATTTAGCAGGATCACATTAACTTGGATGCTTTCTTCTTTCATTCTGACCTCAAGGCTAGCTCATCTTCAAAAAATAGCTTTCTCCTAAGATCTCTGTTTAAGTGAATGATATAGTATTCATTATCACACAACTTCTAACAGCCTGCTTTTCTTTGAGAAAGAACTGTTTTGTTTTTGCTGAGAAGAATCATGTTAACAATGAACACCAATAAATTCTGTGGATTGCCTCTGGGTCTAATGGTACCCCTCCAATTTTAGGGAAACACATACCACAAATGGATTTAAAACCAATGTTGAATGTTACGATCTAATTGCAAGGTATGGGACTTAAGAGTCTACATCGGAAATATAAGGTTCTGGTATGGGATTTATATGGATTTTGAGTTCTCCTACCTTATGAGCTAGCTTTTGAGGTAAGGTTCTCCCAAGGTTCGTATCAATTGATATCAAAACCTTCCACTATGTCTCCCCTTTCCTACCTTACGATATTAAAAGACAGTTCCTTTGAATTGATATAACTTATTGGCATACGCTATCTGAATAGGAGGGCACTGGATTTCACACATTGAAGGACAGAAAAGAGTTCATTCCTAATGCAAATTAATAAAATGGTGAAATAACTTGGAAACAATGAAGGCATTATGCGGCAAAAAATGGATGACTGTGGTTTCAGGCACTACCTTTCATAATTAAGCCTTACAGAGACAGGCTCAGAATATTTTGACCAATGAAAATACTATGATCTTGAGGAATAAGAATAACCTCAGTAATACTAATTCTTTTAGGGGAAAAATCACCCCTATGTGATAACATGATTATATCATGATCATCACTACAGTTCTCATTCATGGAACACTCCAGTCTTCAATGCAACTTTTGATCTTTCAGTGTCAACTGTATCTACATACAAGTATGTATTACAAGCTAGTTGTGCATAAACTTTTGAAGAGTACATAAGTATATACTTGTTAACCATAATTATAAAAAAATAAATCCCCATACGAGCATACAATGCAAGGATTATTCTATCATCTTCACTACAATTGACATTCATAGCACAAGCTTTTACTCGCGCAACTCTAGATTTTGCCATCAGTAACCAGTATAAGGGTATCTGTCATAAAACGAAGAATCCATGAGATTCCTTGTTTAATGGGAGCATTTCCTCCTTCAAGATCAGAGTGGAGAAGAGATCATATGATCAAAACTATAAAGGCCTCCCAAGAAAAATGCATCTATAAATTGCCTTATAAGTAATCATTCTTGAAACAACTGTAATGCCCCAGCTTCCATTTCACTGAACCAGCTTCCAATTAATAAGATAATCATGATGTTGACAATGACCAAAATGCCATCTTTTTCTTTGTTTTTTTTTTTTTTTTTTTGTGGGGGGGGGGGGGGGGGTTGTGTTTGTGTAATGCCAAAATGCCACACCAGGGGAACTATTTATTTCCCATTCTACCACGCTTAAAGTCACGCTGCTAGGCCTAGCGAGGCATGTTTTGCCATATGACACAAGGACCTGAGTCCCGCTTGCTGAGTTAGTAGCATCAGTCCCCAACATTACATACATTTTGCCATGGGGTCGAAGGATATGAGTCCAACTGACAGCCTTTTGTCACGTGGCAAAACGTGTCTCGTTGAGCCAGTAGCAGGATTCAACCGTGTCATTTCAGAAAATAATTTGGGGACCGTGGCATATTGGTATATTTTCCCCCAAATTGTGTCAAATTGGCCTTTGTTCCACTCTTTTAAAGTATCACAAAGTAGGACAAATAATTTATATTTTTTGAATTCTTGCTTTATAGATACTATGTAAATTCAATCACTAGATGAAGATAATAGCTTTATATAAATTTAAGAACGTGTATCAAACCAGGGAACCGCACCGAAAAGATTTATCATAGTGGAGGAGCATGAATTAACTCTTAACACAAGGAGTATAATTAATGACAGGAGTATTAATACACTTTAGCAGATATATTAACAATAAGCTTCGAAGCAAACATTTATTTCAGAAGAACAAATAAACAGACATTGAACCACCATAAAGATAATCTCAAAATTACCATACCGGTAAGAACAAAAGAGTGATTGCAACACGGCATATTTCATCCCCAGAAATTCGTTATACAACAGCAGCCAAAGTTGATAAACAAACCAGCAAAGCGTGACATTGATAGAAAATTACCTTGAGTATTCGAAGAATGCGGGGAACACTTTGCTTCATTAGCCGCTGCTTCATCTCCTTGCAGTACATCAGACCAACAGTTTCAACATACATTTCAACATCCTCACAATCACCGATTTGGAGACATGACAAACCCGATAGTTCAGAAAGTTTGTCAGAAAAGAAACTACTCTTCTCTATCAGAACATCCCTGTGCACACTTAACTTGACAGAAAATCCCTGCTTTCCTAATAAAACCACCTTCATATCACAAGTTCCAGGTTCACCAAACTCAATAGCTACCTTTCTTGGCAAAGTTTCAATTTTGGGTCTCGGTGCTCTCTCTGCAGGCACAGATGTGCTAGCTGGAGGTCTTTCTGGACCAGTACTACATTGTTGATCATCAGAAGGCACCAATCTCGATGGAGCAGATGCAGCAGCTCTTCTCTCACTCACTGGCACTGGCTTTTTCTGAACACTGGTTGTTGGTGGGGATGAAGAGGGTTTGGGTTTATTCAGAGGATTTTGAGCCTTGAAGCTTTTCTGAAACACAACAGGAGAAGGGCAGCACCAAAACCCTTCTGGGGTGACAGCTATTGGAACATTTTTAATCTTGGTTTGGCCTTGCTCCACCCGGGTAAGCTTAATTTCAGCCATGTCTAGCAAGTGACAAGGATTATTCACAAAACAAACAGCTAATATGGAACAAGATGTGATGTCATCACAGTGAAAATGAAGCAGTGGAAATAACCAAACAAGCCCTTTGTTTTCCTATGTAACAAACACTGAATTGGATGTACTAGCAAGTCAAGTCAAGGGGAAGAAAATATCTCGGCAAGTTTTGTTCCCTTCTTTCCGGAAGTTCAGCTTTTCCTTTGAATACAGTGCTTTTCCCTCATGACCACGGAAATAAGGAAAATAAACAGCTGCAATCTTTGAAGTTGATCTGCTTTTCTTTCCCCAAAATAATCACTGCAGTTTCATACAAATTTCATGGAACATGAGGAATGTTAATTTCATATTTATTTATTTTTTCTTTCTCAAATGGGTAAAAGGATTTGAATCCCAAACAGAACAGGAGGAAGATATACATAAGCAGTTACAATTTTCATTCAGAAAGAGAGAAAAGTGGTTAAAGCATTTTTAAAAATATAACCCAAGAGTTCTACAGATACCCTCTAGCTAACTACAGATCTGCAGCAGAGACAAATTAAATGGGGGGCAAAAGCACACAGAAAAATGGTTCCTTTCTCTAAGCCAAAAGCAGAATACTTACCAAGAAATTAGAAATGGTGTCATGTGAGAAACCTCATAAAATCCATGTCTTATTTAATACTACTGAACCAACAACAGAGTGTGAGAAATGATTGAACAGGAGGTGCAGTGTTAAGCATCAAGGGAGCCAGTGAACATAGAGTTAGTGTAGTGTAGCGTAGTAATAGTAGTCCCCTCTTTAATTTGTAAAGTAGAGAAACACCACGAGACCCGAAAAAGCAAAAGGGAATAATCACGGAGAGGGGAGAGGATGATGGCTCATGGGATGTGTTACCACTTTAACAGTTCCATGCTTTTGATGATTGTCTTTGTTTTGTACCCATGGGGTCTCACAATTACACCACCTTTGTTTTGTACCAGACCCAATGTTACTGTTTTTTATTTTTTTTTGGAATATGTTTTTTATTTTTTGGAATATCTTTATCCTGTTGTATTAGATTATACAATATACAAAAATATAGATGAAACTTCTTGTTTGGTCCTGGACTGTGAATATTACTATAAAGAAATAGATGTGTTAAGAGATATATGTGAGGGAAATATTCAATTGACTCAAGATGAATTTATTAATCATTGTGCATGTTTCAACTCTTTATTTATAAGTGGAGTTACTTGTAGGTTTAGAGTCCTAATAAGATTGTGATTTATTGATCAAATAGTGGTAGTTCAGTTGGCATGTGGGAGTTGAGTAGGTGGGAGTGAGAGCATATGTTCGAACCTCTCCAGTACCACCTTTGGAAGGGGTTTAAAGCCTTAATCCTGGACCCGCCCCGAATCGTACTAATCGCGAAGCGATGAACCGATAGAATATTTCCAAAGATTGTGATTTATTGATCCTTTATTATTTAGAATATTATTTGGATAACATCCATAACACTTATTAAGGAGAAGAGAAATAAAGAATTTATATATATATGAGATAAAATTATTTTATATAATATAAAAAAAAAACATATTTCCCTTTTATTTTTCTATCTTGTTTTTCCTTTGTTGTTTTGTCTATACACAACTCAGCACTCATAACAGACACTAAGCATGCCTCCCGTTTTATTCCACCTATTATTAAAAAAAAAATTAATAATTTTCTGAGATTCTCCGTGTCCCGCTTGCTTTTGGGGACCGTAGTTGGATTTTCTAGGCTGGGAGACACTGTCATTTTGAGTAAAGCAGAAGTTTGCTACATGTAGTGCAATGACCAGTTCACCCTCTAGTTCAGGTCTTGGGGTATTGCTATTGTACATGCCAAATTTTGAAGTAGAAGAGTGAGCTTGTATCTTGATATTAATAACAAAAATATGTCAGTGACTAACAAAGTATTAAATTTATTATTTTCCTAAATTTAAGCTGCAGTTTTTATTATATTTTATTTTTTTAATCTTGAATGTGGCAGTTAACCATTAGCGGTATATGAGGGACTAAGACATGAAAACGATTGATGGTCCAAAGTTCAAACCAAGAGCACATTGTGTTCCTTCTTTCTTCATAGAAAGGGACGGCAGTGCTTGTTCTCTCTCTATAAATAGATATGACAACATGAATGAATCACAATTCATATATATATATATATATATATATATATATATATATATATATATAGGAATTTACATTTATCATTTAACATGACACAACAAAGTTTCCTACACACACAATATTTTGTGGACTTTTTGAAACAAAAAAAAAACTACGGCACGCAAAATAAATCTTTATAACATTACACAATCGTTTTTCCTACAACATAACTCTTATAAAACTCATATATATATATATATATGTGTGTGTGTGTGTGGAAATATTAACCTCATGTCACATGAGACAACAAGTCTCTCCTACACACTCAAAAAGATACGGGTCTCACTTCAAAATTTTCCCTTTTTTTCTCGTGCAATGGGACCCACATAAAATTGTGAATGCAACATGAGATAAATATCTCATGTTGCATAAGAAAATATAATCCCATATATATATATATATATATATATATATATATATATATATATATATTTAATTTTTGGCTGATCAATTTGTCAGTTGTTATAAAATTAATCACAAATAACCGATGATAAAATTATTTGGTTCAGAAATTAGGTTGAGCTAGTTTTTTTACATCCAAGGGCTAGTAGGGATTAAACTCTGTAGTACTTGCACTAAAAGATAAAACCAAATATAACAATATACACAATAACAAAGGCACATATCAAAAAAGCCCTAAATAAATCCTCACCGCCTAATATAGGAAACTATATACAAAGAGCCTTAAAGATTGATCTAAACAATTAGCCACAACAATAAGAACTAATAACACAATAGAAATATAGGCTACAAGTCTACAAATACCACATTCGAGCAAGCTCCTCATCCTTCTAATCATCGAATTAACACTTACAAGATTCACCTTCTTAAAGCACCAGAAGCCACTAATCTTCTCCAAGACTTAGCCAAGCACCTGCAACACATAGACCAGCAAAACCACAACAAAAAATGGGCAAGAATAGAGTTATTGATAGCAATCTAGGTTTCGAGCATGAAACCCTAACAGAGCTCATAAAGGGGATTTTTCAAAGAATAGAGAGAAAATAATGCATCATGTATCGAAATGAATTGGTACACACAATCAGGAAGAGTCTTAGCTATTATTATATGATCAAACGCACCGTTTTATTATTACCAATGTGAAATGACTAAAATACCCATTACAAACACTAATGAATGATTGAAACGATAGGCTACATTGGGAAATAAACATAACAAACTCCACCTTATTTCATAAGGTAGCTTGTGTAAGTACAAGAAAGATGGAGTTTAATCTCATGATCAATTTTATATTTTCCACAAGATTAACCCAAAACCTTCAACAAACTCAAGTCATCCTTGAACTTGTTGATACAAACTTGGTGAAAATATCAACAATGTTCTAAGAAGTGAAGATCTTTTTTACCTCAACCTGCCCATTAGAGATGATGTCTCTAATGAAGTGCAACCTAACATTTATATGTTTTTCCATTTGATGGAAGACGTAACACCTCATGTGTACCTGATGTATTATAATTAATTATGGCATTAAGCGCAGACAGAATCAAAGTAATTAAAGCTGAATCACTAATAAATATTTTCCATTTCGCGAATAATTTTACTTCGTATTTAATTACGTCAACTCCCTTAATTTATTAGTCATTCATTAATTAGGAGTGTCCTATTTTAGCCTATAATCTCTTAAGAAATGTCCCACATGAGCCAAGTGGATTAAAAACTTAAGTTTAAGTTGTAGGGCTAGCGCGCTTTAGCACGCCTTTGAGTGCGCTTTAGCGTGCTCTTGCACGTAATTTTCCTTTATTTAGCATGTTGTAGCGTGCTTAGAAGGTTGCTTACTATCTTGGGATCTCATAGTGCGTTTTAGCAAAGCGCGCTCCCCAGAGAATGAAAAGGTTCCATTTCAATTTTTAATCTCCTTTCCAAGAACTTATATGTCCATCAAAGTACCTAAGGAATCATTTGGCCATTTTCATGACAATCAAGCATTTACATACATTCTTCATCCATGAATTTCTTGATTCTTGTCATCAACCATCAATATCATTACAAGTACATCTTAACATTCATATACCCAAAAGAATAATCATGTTACAACATACTTCAACATAGTGCTCAAATTTACATCATGAGTCATGCAAGCCCTACCCAAACTATAGACATGTCCTTTGAAGATTTCAATACATGAATTCCAAACTACTATATTATAAACCTTATACACATATCCTTGGTACATTAGGATTACAAAGCATGATCTTTCATTCTGTGAAATTACATACACCATAGCTACAAGCTTTTACCTTAAGGAATGTCATAGCCTATACAAAAGATGTGGCTATACAAAATGTATATGGCTAAACAGCATCTCCTCAAAATACATCATCTCAAAAGCAAACTCCCAGGGACTAAGTAGGCTCTTTGCCCCTATTGGCACTGGCTCCTCTGTAGGGTTGGCAAAATGGGCCAACCCGGCTCGACCCGGCCCAACCCGCATTTAGCCCGAAAAAATGGGTCGGGTCGGGTTGGCTCGAAAAAAAAAACGAGCCAGAAAACCCCACTCGGCTCGACCCGAGCCGGCTCGCGGGTTGGCTCGATAATCAGCTCGCGGGTTGGCTCGTAAAAAAGCTCACGGGTTGGCTCAAAAAAAGCTCGCGAGTTAGCTCGAAATGATGCTAGTGGGTTGGCTCGCGGGTTGCTTAGCTCAAAATATTGGCTCGTGGGTTGTCTCGCGGGTTGGCTCAAAAAATTTAATTTTTGTGGTTTGTTCTCCTGTGTAAAATTATTGTATTTTGCAGTCCAACTACAAGTAGAGTAGTTTACAAAATCCAAAAACATTAAATGAAACACAAACCACTCCACGAATCACAGGAGTCAGTTATCATGATTTTCTGAATTACTCTAACTCACGATAACCATAAAACGTATATAAAGCCAAAAAATAAAAAATAAAAGAAATCCATTATATATTTCAACGATAAGCATCTAGAATCAAAAGCCAATCATGAAAAAAAGGACTTGCAAAAGCGACCAATATAGTAAAGTTCATCAGTGGAGAATCTATCAGTAAAGTCCATTGTATTTTATTAAAAAAAAAGAGTAACCCGCGAGTTGGCTCGTTCAACCCGCGAGCTGGCTCGTTTGAGCCCGGGTTGGCTCGAGTCGGGCTAAATCGAGCTGGCAGCTCATTTTTGCCAACCCAACCCGGCTCGTTTTGTGCGGGTTACGAGCCGACCCGACGGGTTGGCTCATTTTTGCCACCCCTACTCCTCTGTCTCCCTATGTCCTAAAATATATTTCCTAACACGGGGTGAGATAAACATCTCAATAAACTAAGGGTCTTTGGAGGATTCCTCCACCTTAAGTTCACTTATGGTGCATAAGCATTGAAACAAGTATAATACATCATATATCATACAAATGAACATCAATCACACCAAAATCATTCCATGGGCCAACTTTCCATTTTAGGAATACCCATATGAAACTTCCGAGAAGAATCCCTATGAACTCCCCTTCTCAGGTTTTAACCACATGGAGTTGTTCCACGAAATTGGCTCCAAGGGAAGTCCACACATCTATACCTTAAGAGAAGTCCCTACGGGCTCTCACTCCCAAGGCACACCCAAGAAGAGTCCCTACAATCTTCCCTCCTCAAGTTTAATCCCACAAACATTCTCCTGGCCAGGAAACCATATCAATTATGCATCACACAAAGCAATTTTCATATTACACAACACAAAGCATATTTTTATATTATGCATTATATCTCATTTTAATTCAAC